GACTCCTTTTCTTGAGTTCCTTACCAATGAAAAGAGGAGCTGAACAATATCAATAACAAGACTTTGGCTGTTCTAGAACATTTAAAAATTTTTCTCGAATTTTAAGTAGTTTTAATAAATTTTTTAGTATGTGAAGTAGTGTTTATTGGGATATTTATGTATATAAAACAATGACGGGCAACGATAAATTAATTTGTCAGTCATCAAAAGATCAACATAAAGTATCTCAATTGATCAATCCATAACTTTGGAAAATAATCAATATCAGAGTTTGTGAGCTTATCTAGATAAATATAATAGGACTTCGAGAAATCCTCACGTAGATATAATGAATCTTTACAACAGGCTTATTCGTCAATTAATACAATCTTCAGAATAATAACAATTTTAAAATAAGTTAAACGAAATACGTGAAAGAAAAAACCGAGCGAATAGCTATCACTTCAATAGAAAAACAAAAGAGCGCCAGTATATAAAAAAGAAAAGAAGATTCTATTCGAAATGCAGAAACAAATAAGATATAAAGACTGCCTTGAGGTCAATTACATTGGAAAAAATTCTAGTCTGCCAAAGATATTTCACCTAGTCTATATCCTATTAGTATAATGAAACAAAAAACTATGTGAGCTCCATGTTTCAGCCTCAAAAGAAGGTGGGTGTACAAGCTTTGTTATTTATTCTTGCTCTTTGTTATGATGAACAATAAGGCAGATTAACACCGTCAATCTCGATATGAGACTCAATAGTAAGCATTGATTTATCAAATGAAATCTTTGTTTTTAAATTTAGATGTATTCCAGAAACACATGTAATGGTAAAGATATATAAAATTATTTTATTTTTCATTTAGATTTAGCGAACGGCAGATCACTGTAAAAAAGAAGCATAGAATCGTAAACTCGTAAAGAACTTATGGAACTACAATGTTTAATGAACGCTTTTTAGTGTATGTGAAATTTTCAAAAATCCTTCTGGATCGATTTATGCAAGGGTATCGGATTTTTGTAACTCTTAAAAGGTTTATTATACTTTGCACTTTCATAAGCCTTTTAAAAGTTTATGGTGCTACTCCTTTTTTTACAGTGTAGTTTGATCAGTAAATGCTCCTATGACTCGTAAATATTTGACTACCAATAGATCGACTAACCTGAAATCAGCATCAGCATTGGTTTCATCTCTGATCTCAAGCACAACTCTTCGAAAGCAAGTATATTATGGCATGTTACGGCGAAAACAATATGCGAACATGCTACGTGTTTCCACCTATTAAACTTTCGTGGCAACGACAATGTGTCATCAAAGCATAGAATGCTCGCTACAAGGGGTTCTAAACTAGTAGTACTAGTATTGGCTTCAAAAGCGATTTTGAGATCATAGCGTTGTATCAGATCACCATTTGGGTTCGATCACATGAAACATGGTACATTCAAAAGTCAACAATGCCGTACTTCTCTCTGATGGATATAGCAATAGATGGAACCGGCTTTATTTCAAGGATTCTTTTCCTGAGGTTGTTGACAGCAACATTGAATAATGGAAAATATACTATTTTTCTTGCTGAAATTGATCATCGTAGATGGGTGTCTAGATATGAGCGGGACTAGCCTTTTTCGGTCCCGGTCATAAAAAAAAATTTAGTCCCGGTCCCGACCAAAAATATTTTTTGGTCCTGGTCCCGTCCCAGTCCCGACTAAAAAAAAAATTTTTGGTTCCGATCCCGGTCAAAAAAAGCTGTTGGTCCCGGTCCCGTCCCGGTCCCGGAGAAAAAAAACTTTGGTCACACTCAAAAAATTTTGGTCCCGATCCTGGTCCGGAACCACTTTGCCCTTCTCCAATGAAGATGATGATTTATTTTGAGATCAATATGTTGTTTTTCTTACTCAATTAGTACATTTTTATCTTATGAAATTCATTTAATCTTTGTTTCTTCTCTCTAAAATCGATGAAATATAAGTACTACTTCAGATGCCAAGATATGTTGCTGTATCTCTCAATGATCTCTTCAGAATGTTTTAGAAGAATATTTACAACACATGAGTTGTGACAATATGGCATTAAACAAGTCATATACGTCCGTAAGAATTATCATTCCTAATAAAAAAAAAGTGTTGGTACCGGTCCCGGTTAAAAAAAATTTTGGTCCCGGTCAAAAAAAAATTTTTGGTCCCGGTCCCGATCAAAAATAAAATTTTTAGTCCCAGCCCCGGTCTCGGTCCCGCCGGGACCGGGACCGGGACCACTTTGCCCATCTCTACTCAATATAATCAAAAATGTTCGGAAACGAGCCATCGAGTGAGTTTCATTCCCAAGAAACGGAACCCTAAGGAGCGGCGAACTCGAACATTTCTACCATCATATTCTGCTTCAACATACGTATATTCAATTTTTCTTCTATCATTGACAGAAAACTTTCGATTAACGTAGATACTAACTTGGCGAATATAAAAGTGATTGCAAATAACAGACAAACTTTGTGAACAATACGAACTTAAGAAATATTGAATGAGTATTCCGTTTGATGACCTATCGGTTCATACTCTTTTCATCATGTTCTTATATTGTTTCCTAGAGTGAGTAGACTGCTTTCAAGTGATGCAATAATAAAATTACTGAGTGCTTGTAACTCCTCGTTATGGCCAAACAATACCTAGAACAATCCTAGAAGTTAAACCAGTTCAATGATAATACTCTCTTTGAAGATTCCTTGGCCTGTTTGTTTTTTTAACATATATTTTCAAATTAATAGGTGAGTCAGGATAAATCAGCCATCGTTACTTCCTCCATATTGTCGGCGTCAACGATGGTATACTACAACGCTAAACATAGACTAAAATGTTCCTTCTAGTCTAATTAGGTTAGGACATCTGTTCCGATCATAAAACATGTGCGGTTCGAGTTTCAAGCAGGACCTCTTGTTCTTCATTCTGTCCATTTATATATTTCCTTACGCTGGAATGTTAGCGTCAATAGAGGTCACTCTATTACCGCTAACTGTCCAGTTGATATATAGTGATTTTCCTCCTTCCTCTCTATAGTTCATATATGTATTTCCATTGGATTGTCCACTATTTATCTATATATGTTTTTTCCCTTTTCTTTCTCGATTAGTCTCTTGTTGTTTTTCTTTTTTCCCGGTGACATTATTATTATCATCATTATTGTTGTTATTATTATTTTGTTATTATTTCTTCCTATTGTTACTTTTGTCTTTCCCATTATTATATTATTATTATTATTTTCTATTATAATCATTAAAACATTAGCTGGTTAATTAACCTATTCTCTTCATTTATCATTACAAGGTCCGGTAAGAATGTTTATTTTCTTTTACGTGAGATTTCTTGTTCCCGTTGCAGACCGGGTATTTGATAAGTAATTGTTTTCTGGCCTAAACTTTAGAGTGGGGCAAGAGTCTAAAACATTCCCATAACGAGAACCTCACATGGAATCTGTTATGATTCACATACGATGCCTACACATATCTCTGTCAGTTTTTATTGTGTTGAAATGGATTCTCTCCAAAAACTTTCAGCATTGAATTCTCTACTAAGTCCTACAGAAATGGTCAACGCAGATATAAAAGAAAAAACTCACCATAGTAACACTGCAAAAGTCTATCATCAATCAATTTCGAGCTGTTTTCATTGATACTAACTCGTATTTTTGGTTGATATTGAAGCAGCATGTAAAAAGTTCTACGTAGAAAGTTTATTTTTCAGAAAAACTAGTCATTATCTTGCATACTTTTCCTTACTATTAACACTTAAACTATTCGAAGTAGCACCGTTTCAGAATGCTTCTAGCCTTGTATAGTACCGTATATTGGCATAAATACAAACCATAACCTTGCTCCAAGTAAAAATTCTACGACCAGTTGCCAGTATTTTTCCAAACACTGGAAAAATACGGTGAAAAACAGGGATATTTTCGAAAACTCGTGAAAGTTAACATTTATTTAACTCTATAGGCTTTTAATGGAAGAGTTCTAATGTACACTCACAGAGTACAGCTTTCAAAGCTCAAAGAAAGTGTTTATTTAATTGGTTTCTATGGTTTGACACCATAAAAACCCAGAGAGATATCAAGCAAAAGGCTAGGGAGTCATTTATGCTAAGATACCAATATTTTCTAGTACTATGAGTGTGCTATGGAACTACAGGAAAATTGAACTGTTTTACACTTATGATTGTTCCTTGCGACCGAAAAATATACATCAAAGTTTTAGAGCTAGAAGTATTTCAATGAAATCACCCTTTTTTCCAGACCTGTGTCCCATTATCTTTTACTGAGGAATCTTTTATGATTTTTATCTTCATCATGGGGTATTGGATAACACAAGCGCCAAATGAGCTCATTATTCCACTTCGTCATTCTGACTTGAGAATTTTCTGGATAATCCTAACCACAAAGTCATTTTAGGAGAAATACAGTTTTTCCAAAACCTACCAACTCGAATTTTGTTGATGTCATAAAAACAGCTGTTATCTAATTAGAATTATTCGCTCTGAAGACAATATCCTAAGCATATTCTTCGCCAAAACTCGGTTGAAGAGAAATCCCTCTACGAAAATTTCCTGAAGCATTTTTTATCTGTACAGTATCATATCTAATTTTCAGCTAGGTCAAACTTCTTCGAATGGTAAAAGAACATAATGTTGAGCGGTCTTTTTTCTATATGGAACCTCACAAAATTGATTAACATCCCTTGCTACAGATGTTTTGTGATAAGCGTGGCTTTACAGTAGTTAATATTTGCTATTCATTTCATACAGAATTTCAGAACATTTCTGTCTGCAGGAAAATAACGGGTGGCCCAGAATAAATTATACCATTAGTATTTTTAATATTTCTCCTCTGTTTTTCAATGAAAAAAAATAAGTTTTTTTTATCAAAAAGAAGCGCTTTAAATTCTGCACAATACAGTATATTTCATTTAATGAATATACTTTCCTCCATTTTTTTTATTTCACGTAATCTTATAGTAAAATCAAGTACAGAATTTAAATTTTTTTTTTGTCAACTTTTGTTACGGAACGTTTTATCTCTGCAATCAACGTTGCTTTTGTTGTTATTCGATCCCAATTCATACATTGAGCCAGCTTGTTCCATAAACTGTAATCCAAGGGGCATAAATCAGGTGAATTGGGCGGCCAACGCTTCTCGGGGATGAAATCAGGAAAATGCTTGGCACACCATTCTTGAGTGAGATGATGTGTGTGAGGTCTAGCACCATCCTGTTGATAAGTCCAATCGCTCCCTAACATTTTATCACCACATTCGAGAGCTATTGGAAGAACTTTATTGATGTAAACCTCTGCATCCATCATTCCATTTTCCAAAATGATTGGTGTTGTTAAGCCTTCAGCACATGCACCTAACCACACCATCACTTTTTCTGGATATTTGGTCTTCTCACGAAAACCACCTTTTCTATCAGCTTCTTCTCTATTGGCAGCCCACACCCGGTCGTTTTGTGAATTGTATATGCCGTCAAGATCAAAAAACTTTTCATCTGTGAAAAGCCATTTTTTAGTGTTCTCTTTGCTGTAGTTATTTAACACCCAATTAGCAAACTTAATCCTCTTTTTTTTTGAAGATTAGTTAGCTTAGGTTGTTTTGTCTTTTTGTACGGCTTACATCCAAGATCTTCACTGAGTATTCGCTGTATACTCGTTCTAGAAATATTCATATCTTTAGCTAATTTTCGTGTAGACACTCGTTTCTTTTGATTTAGACGGTTTTTAACCTTCACAATAGCGGCCTTTGTACGAACTGTGCGTGGACAGCCTGGAGGAGATGATAACAGGATAGAACCAGTTTTGTTGATCATTTTTATCCATAATTTAATTGTGGGTAATGAAACAACTCCGGCTAAATCACGATAAATTTTTGCCGGACCATCACCATTTTCATATTTAATTTTTACAACTTTTTGTATATCTTTACTTTTCATATTTTTTTAAATGAAAGAGAAATAACTTTTAGGGTCAACCATACACTGTTTTATAGAGAATTTCAAGCGCCATCTTTTAGTATAAAAAGATATCCCGATCTAATGGATAATAGAAGAGTTATACTCAAAATACGAATGGTATAATTTATTCTGGGCCACCCGTTAATTACTATGATACGAAAAAAAAATAATACAAGCTTAATGATACTATTTAAG